CGAGTATTTAGTGCGCGTCAACCAAGAACAGCTGCATGTGTTTTAATCTCACCTGCAACTAAGCCAGTGGGATTAGGCTTTATAAATGATATATAACTGCAATATCCAAGCTAAAAATGCTGGTCAGGCCTAAATTATTCCTTGATACTTATTGTGGAGACAGTGTTCTTACTGCACTTCCTGCTACTGTACTATCACTGCATTTTTTTTCTGGGCGTTACTCCACAGATAACTTATTCAGGAAAATTTCGGTGAAAGCATGTTTCTTTTGTACATTTCTGTCTGACTGCATATTTTAACAGCAAGATTACAAAAGACTGCAGAATGCAAGAAATTCCGTGCATGACTGCAAGCTTTGTTCTTAAAGTTTCAGCCCTCAACTTACATAAGAATTAGGCGTATGCTAGACCTGAATATGGATTTTTTGGATCGTACATGGAGAGGCAGCATCCGTTTAGAATTTCAGCCTCTAGCTTTTTCGGTTCCCGAGTTGGGAAAGTTTTACTCAAAATTTTCGCATGTCAGTACATAAGACGTGTCAGTACACAAGAAATTCAGTTTCCACTCGTGTGGAAACTGAATTTGCGCATTAAAGATTGCTCAGCATTTCTTCGCCGGATTCGTTCGCAGCGCTGGTGGTTTAGATTTCGTTTTTGCTGAAAAGCTACCAGCAGTTTTCTAACCGCGCTTTCGCGTGTCCGTATGCAAGATTTAGATATACTTAAAAACAGAATTCGAAATCTTTGAATTTAGTTCTAGATCGCAAATGGACAGAGAATGTCTTCCTGAAATTTCAGCTTCCTAGATATAAATGTTCTTGAATGTTGGTACCTGGTTTTTGGCGTCGTACTTGGCCGGAGAACACATTGCCAAAACCTCAGCACCTAATTTTGCTTGGTTGTCAAATTAAAACACATGGACAGATGGACACACACACAGCGTGGTCATCATAATATGAGTTTTTTGTTAGCTCTTACAGTTCAACAATGCTGTACCGCAAAAGCGCATAAGAATTCAAAAAAATGGCCTAAAAAACAGGTCACAGATTTCAATGCAATTTTTCTATTGCGCAGTGAGATCTACGATTTGATTTTTTTTTTTTACTTGGATCAGTCTGGCTCAAGCATACTTAATCTTTCAACTTGAAAGTCATAAAAGCTACGAGCTGCGGGTTCTTGAAAATAATTTCATCAGACAGTTCGAGATGCATAGGCCCCAATCGGGCCTTTAAATCGCGCTGTATAAC